GGCCTCCTCCTCGTCCCTCGGGACAGCTCATGGGCTGCCTGTCATCTCCTGCAGCCGGAGCTCACACGGCCTCCTGCTCCCCGGGGCGCCCCGGCCACGTCCCGTCGGCTCCTCTTCATCCTCCCGCAGCCCTCCCTCCCTCCCTCCCGCTCTATCTCCATGGTTTTATGGCCTTGATGGCAGCAATATTCCTGTGTCCCTGAGCTCAGCCCAGAAACTGCAGAGCCACCGTGGTGTCACCGGCCTTTCCACCTTCCCCTGGTCACACTGGCTGAGTGGGTGCCCAGGGGCTGGGGGGTGTCTGGGGGGGTGAGCAGCTGCCCCAGCTGCAACAGGAGGGCTCAGCCCCATCCCTGCTCCACCACCCCACACGTGCATGGGTGGAAAAAGGGCCTTTGTGCTCCTGGATCTGGCCTTTGCTCTTCCTGCTGCCCTCAGATTCAAGTCTCTGTCACCAAAGGGGGTGATGGCCTTGGGTCCCCAAGTGAGGGGTGACCACACTGGCATTCAGCACCTCAGGGCACCCCTTGGTCATGTCCAGGACCCACCATCCCTGTCAGAGGACTTTGGAGTTCAGAGCTCGTCCCTACAGGATTTGGGGAGGTCACCCTGCAGTGAGTTGGCAGCTCTTGCCCCATCCCTGGCAACTGCCCCATCCTGCCCAGCATTGGCGGGACCAGTTCCCACCCAGGGGCAACCTGCACAATCCCCCAGGAACGGGAAAATCCAGAATAGCTTCGTCATCGTCATCATATCACCGTCATCACCACCATCATCATCATCACCATCATTGCAAGAGAAGCGAGCTCAATCAGTGCTGAGATGTGCCCACCCACCCCAAGGTTGGTGCCAGGATGGGATCAGGATTCACCCTGGAACCAGTTGTGAGGGGGCAAGGAGTGGTCCCACCCCATCTCTGCAGGGCACATCTCTTAATTCCAGGTTTACTCCTCTTTTCTGAGGTGGGTTGCGAAGAGATTCCATGTTTTCCCCATTTTGGGGGATGGGTTTCCAGGTTTCCCCCTTTTTCTTGGGATCGGTTATGAAGGATTTCCAGTTTCTCCTCTTTTTTGGAGATGGGTCATGAAAGGCTTCCAGGTTTCTCCCTTTTTTGGAGATTGGCTGTGAAGGGTTTCCAGATCCTCCCTTTTTTTGGGGGACGGGCTGTGAAGGGCTTCCAGATTTCCCCTGCTTTAGGGGGATAGGTGGGAAGGGTTTCCAGCCAGAAGTGAATAGCAGTGGATGGGATGTGGCAGCCCAACAATGGGATCCTGGTGGCCTCAGGACAGAGGTGACCAAGCCAAGAAGCCACAGCACCCCATCTCCCACATCCGCAGAGTGTAACCCTCTCCCACATCCCATGGGGTGTAACCATCCCCATGAGGGCTCCACCACCACATCCCCCATCCCTGTTCCCCGTCCCTCCAACCCGGGTTTTGGGGTACAAAGCAGGTACTCACACCGACAGCTGTGACGGCCAGAGCTGTGGATCCCGAGGGATGGGGTGAGGATGGGCAGCGTCACGCCCTGGCCAGGCCCTGGCAGACACTGCTGGCGGAGTGTGGTGTCAGTGCCTTTATCACCAGAGAGGCCTGTCACGATTGCAGCGGCCCAACTGGTTTGTGGCCACCCAGCCAGGGCCAGTGCCAG